GCCGTCCGGGGCCTCCGGGGCGCGTGTGCGTCGGGCCCGTTCGGAGCGGAGCGCGCGGGCCCGCCATCCGCGAGGGCTGTCCCTGAATAACTCTGTGTTTCCCTCTTCCCCCCGGGGTTTGGCCTCTCCGCACGTCCCGGCCTGCGGCGATGCAGAGAACAAAAGGACAAGATAATAAAGGTGAGGGAAGTTCCCCAGTGGCCCTGGGGCGGCTCGGGGTGGAGGAGGAAGCGGAGCGTGCTCCCAAGTGTGGAAAGGACCATGTGGGCAAGAAGGGCCTGGGCAGCCGCGTCTCGGACCGGAAACTTTTTCGTGAGCTTCGTGGAGATAAAATTTCAGATGATGTGATATTTGGGGAGACTTGACAGGCTGAAGACGGGCTTCTGAGGGACAAGTTAATAAGTGGGTAGCCCCAGTAATTTCAGTCCTTCCCTCTCCACCGCGAGATCGTTTATTTTGGGGGGGCGGGGGGGAGAAGGAGGTAAAGTATTGCCAAATGGAAGCAGCACAGAATTTGGGAGACGAGAGTGTCCCGGGGCCCCTAGGAGAGGGTTGCCAGCCGGTCCTTGGACGGGTAAGCCAGTTCTAGGTCCCCCGAAAAGCTGCAGTCGTTTGGTCTCTTGTGGTATCCCAGGTTGAGGTAAACCCCCAAAACTTGCTCCTTGAGAGCCAGTAAGTGACACTGTGTTTCCTCCCAAGACTTTTTAACCAGTATGTGTGTCACTTGGATGCAGCCAGATATGATCCATCGTGTTTGAAGACAGAAAGTTCCAACGATTTATTTATCTTAACTTTCCTGTTATGGCTGAGCATTGTAACCGTGGAAAATAAGCGCAGAGCCAACTAATGAGCTTCAGGGAAGCCCTTCAGTTATAGCGCCCGCGAATTTCCTGGTACTGCTCTCCTCGCGAGGGCAGTGTGCTTCTGGAGGTTCTGGCCTGTTTAGCATAAACAGATCTTCTCAGATGGTATCATTTTCACCAAAACCTGGCTCCGAGTCCTTGACATCATTTCGTTTATGGCTATATATTGTCAACATTTTGCCAGATTATTAATGAGTCTTTATCAAATACTCAAACTAGATTATTGAACGTTCTGCGTTGTTTTTCTAATTAATTTTGTAAACATCAGTTCTGTGCAGGCAGATTGCATACGTTTTTAAGTAAAAGTATACTTTATATTAACTGATAAAATAGACTCACTACCTTTAATTTCCACACTGAAAGTAATTATTTAAACTTCAGAAATAATCCTTTGCACTTTGTCGTTCTAGTGCAAAATGGTTCATTGCATCAGAAGGATACTGTTCATGACAGTGACTTCGAGCCCTACCTTTCTGGACAGTCGAATCAGGTGAGTTTGTTTTGTGAACATATGCTCGTTTTTTTCGTTAGTGTGAGTTTTGTAGCATACCTTTACTCTCATATTTCTGATTTTATTGTTATCGCAAACAAAAGAGACAGACTGTAAGGTACTAGAAGTCATAAAAAGAATGTGAGTGAAGGTTTTTGCTCTGAAAACAGGCCTCACGTTGAACATGGGTCGTGAGTGAAATGAAGATGGTGGGCTCAGTTTTCCCTCTGGAGGAAGTCATACCCTGTGGGGGTCAGGGGGCAAACACAAGGCAAGTTGGCACCAGCATTTATGGGTCAGTGATGCTGTGCCGGTGGGTCAGGGTGTGCGTCCTCAGCAGCTTTCTGGTGAAGCGTTTCTAGCTCTGGACAGTTGTGACTGTCTGGTAGTGCAGTTCAGATCTGGACTCTGGAGCCAGACTGCCACCCTGGGTTTGAATCGTAGCTTCACCACTGATAAATATGTGACCTTCTTCAGGAAGTGTACCCTTTCTGTGCCTCAGTGTCTTTTTCTGTAAAATGGAGATAGTAGGAACCCCTCATAGAATGGTGGGAGGAGGACTTTAGATGGCGTCTATACAGTGCCGAGCAGTATCTGATACAAGGCCCAGTGTATCGTAGCTGCCGCGTTTTCTTAGGTAGTTGAGGGTTTCTCAACTGTGGGTGTTCTGAACGAGAACATTCTTTTGGGGTGGGGGGGCTGTCCTGCGCGTTATAGGATGTTTAGCAGCATCCTTGGTTGCTACCCACTAGATGCCAGTAGCATTCCTCCCTGCCCCAGCACGCACGCACGCACGCACGCACGCACGCACACACACACACACACACACCAGTTGTGACAACTGAAATGTCCCCAGACATGGACATATTCCCCCGGTTGAGAACCACCAGGCTAGTTAGAGGTGAGGTTTAAATGTAACCATTTTTAAAACGCACTGAGCGTGTTTACTGTGTCGTGAGAAAAAGCCAGGCTTGGCCTCTTCCTTGTGGTGGAATGAAGCTAGTTAGCCTGTCTGCTTGCCTGTCTGCCTTCTCTAAAGCATCAGAACTTCATCCCATGTCTCCCACTGCACTGGGTAGTCAGCTCCTGAGGGGCCGAGAGACCCTGTGCAGGGCATGTCTCGGTTGCCGCTGGTTCTCTGCTCCTGAGACGCTCCCCTTCCTCTGGGCGGGCAGGGCTCTGCAGAGTAGAACTGATCTGGCTTTGATAATGGGCTCTTGGCTGGAGGCTAATGGCAAGAACTTAAATGGACTTACTTTTCTTTTTAATGTCTTATTTTTTATTTATTTTTTCTTATGTGACTTGAATACTCTAACAGTATCATTTGCCAAAAAGGAGGGTTGCATAACTACACTTGAGATACGTTTTTATAAGGTAAGCGCTTTCGTGTGATTTGGGTAGATTTCTGAAAAACGAAGCAGACTTCCTGGTGTCAGCAGTGCAGCCACAGCTCCGCCTCGCCCTTGGGGAGGCCCTGTGGGCAGACCATGGTGGAGGTCTGTGCCACCAGTGAACAGCCCACGGTGGCGCCTTTATCCTTTCTGTTCACACGTGCACTTCCAGCAGGATGGCCAGTCAGCACATTACTTGAGTAAATCCTCGCTCTTTATTGATTGATAACAGGTTTTCCAGAAATACGCAACCAATCTAGGGTATGGGAAGCTTGTGCCACAGGGGCACTCTTAGGTCAGGATTGTTTCTGGCCCTTTCATTTTCTAAAGAAACGGAGGAGGGCTTGAGAGGGCATGTGGTTTGCTCAAGGTTGTAGAGCAGCTGGTGGCAGAGCCAGGGCTCCTCGCTGACCATCCAGGGTGTTCCTGTAACACATTCAGCACCTGGCTGCCTTTTGCCTTCGTCGTGTGTCGGTCATTTCTCAACCTGGGGCCAGTATGTTGTTTTTGTCTCTTTGCCTTACGTCCTCCCAGTCCTGCTGTTTCAGTACTGAGCCATTTGGGGCTTGTCATCACCCCGATGTTGATTTTTCTGCAGAAGATTTCTCGTGTTTCGAGAAGTTCTGCTTACGTTTTGATTCCCAGTTCTCAGATGAAGGACACGCTGTGAAGTCCACCCAGCTAGACGGCTCGTGACTGGGCTAGAGGCGTCACTTGGTGCGGCCAGGCCCTAAACCTGCTCTTCTCTGGGCGTGCGTGGGAGCCTCCTGCAGTTCGTTTTCCTATGTTCTAACAGCTCTGCTGAGGCAATATTGGTATACAGTGAACTGCACATATTTGCAGTGTAGAGTTTTATAAGCTTTTACACACACGTACACACCGTGAAACCATTAGCACAGATGGGATAAGTAAACGTATCTTCATCCCTGTGGTACTTGAAAGAGTCACTTACGGTTTCTAGTAGTCAGTTGGAGGCTACTTGGCTTCTCTGTTTTGGGAAGCCTTAATACTTAGAATGATTTGGAAAATACGAGTGTGCCTTTTATATCTATATATTTTTTTATTGTATTTCAGGTGAAGGCTTACAGAACAAATAGTTTCTCATGAAAACAGTAGTACACATATTGTTTTATGAAATTGGTTAACAACCCCACAACATGTCAACCCTCTTCCTTCTCGACCTTTTGTTTTTTTGGTGAAAATATAGATCGCAAAGATACACCATTTCAAAAATTGCTATAGTTCAGTGACATCGACTACACTCTTCCAGTTGTGCTGCTATTCTCACTTTAGATGAAGGCTTACAGAACAAAATAGTTTCTCATTTAACAGTGCGTTTTATATTTTTTGTAAGATAGTATGTATTGGTTTTTGGAGAAGTTTCTTTTATCAAAACTTATCTTGAAGTTATGCTGCAGGAAAATGAGAAGACACTTGTTCACTGCAAGTGGGATTCTTTGAGCTTAAAAGGATCTCCTCCGCCATAATATGCGCAGTAAGATCTCAGTCATCTGGAATCCTTTTTTACTCCAAGTACCTACATTTTAATTTTTAATCGTTTTGATGGACCCTTAAGTTAGGTTAAATGTAGTTTAACTTGTAAAGCTCTGTGATGGGGTTGTTACCCTCAAGACTGGTGACACTGGCTGTGAGGACGTCTGTCTTGGCTCAGCGTGGATGCTGCTGGCCTGCCAAGACCACCGTGCCCACCATCATGAGACGTGAACTGGGCACCTTGGCATCTGCTCCGCAGTTTAAAATACTCACCTGCCAGCAGACTGGTTTGCCCAGTCGCATCTAACAGGAACAGGAAGGAATGAACCAGAACTGTTTTTGTTTTTCCTCTTTAGTAATTTAGTTACATTCTAAGTGTGACGTGAAACGTTCACTATAGGAGAACACTTTATAAATTTTCGTGTTTGCTTCTGTTTTAATGTAGTGCAGACTTTTAAGAAAGCCAGATGTGGTTTTTTGACTGCCAGGTAAAGTCACGTTCAAGAGCTTAGATTGTCAAATGTACATATAAATCGGTCTGAACTTTTTTTTTTAAGTTTACATGCTGGTGATTTGTAGTTGAAGTCTCTTCTGGACTTCTCTTAGAAACCACACTGTCAGTCAGGTTCTCTTGTTAATCAGGGATTGCATTTAAACTTGAGGAGAGTTGCTTGAAATCCTAGGGGGCGTCTGCACGCACTGTAAGACTCTGGGTGTCACGGGGCTCTCGTTTGTGGCACCTCTTCAAGCCTGTGTGCACACCGTTCATTCAACGCGATTTTACATGGAGAAGTCGAAATTGGCACCTGTGTACTCTTCCGGCAAGAGAGAGATTCCAGTTTAGAAAAAGACAGCGAGTCTTGAAAATTGAGCTCAACATGTTGCCCAAGATTTCTGTCTGGTTTATTATTTGGGGCTGGTTTTTCACTCAGCAGCACAAAGCCCAGCCAGAGGTGCTCTGTCCGGCTGTCTGTGTGTCTACCACCTGTGAGGTCCTGGTGTCCCGACAGACGGAGGGCCAGCCTGCCGAGCCCGTGTGTACTGTGGCGCTCGTATGGTGCCTGGGTCTCCTGTACTTGCAGTGTGGGCTCCCTCACAGTACACACTGCTCTGTACATTTACCAAGAATTTGCCATCATGATCACTTAGCAGAAGTGCAGCTGAATTTTAACATGATTCTTACTGCAGGTCTTTAAAAACTGTAAGCTTATTGACGCATAAAACACGCAGAGATTCTGTCAAAAACCGCCTTCTCAGCGGAGGGGGTGAAACCACAGCTTCGGAGGGGCCAGCCTTGAAAGCAGATTGATAAGTTACCAGCCAAGCAGACATTTCTGGGGTTTTGGTTTTTTAAAACACTTGTTCCGTGTCCCCGGGCTGCTCCTGAGGAACTGTGTAGTGGGTGGGCCTGCTTCAGTCCTGGGACATTTCATTTTTCATGACTACCCTTGATCGTTTTGCCTTTTGCATAATTTAGTCAAGGTTTTTGTTTGTTGGTTTTTTAGGTAAATGCTTCTTAACATGCTCCAAAAATGTTCTGTTCATCTTGGGCTTCTGAAGTGACTCCTTTCTGTCCCTCCCTGTAGCCCCTCCTCTCTGTCCCTCCCTCTAGTCCCTCCTCTTTGTCACTGCGATGGCCACATCACTTAATGGTTGGTGGAACCTGAAGTATTTGTATAACTCAGAATTCCTTCCTTCTCAGAGCTCTGGATATAGGAAGTAAACATCTCAACTTTCATTTAAATGGTTCTGCTTTTTCAGAACGAGGGTTGGTTTTTTTTTTTTTTTTTTAATATGTTTAAATTTGAGTAAGTTTAGAAACGCTCTGCTCTTAAATTTTGGATAAATCCACGGCTTTATTATATTTTACTGCTGAGTTTTTTTAAAGAAAAGGACAAATGAAACAATCTAGGGATAATTGTTGTGTGCTGTCGAGTCGACTGACTCGTAGTGAGCCTATAGGACAGAGTAGAACTGCCCTGTAGGGCTTCCTAGACTGTAATCCTTACAGAAGCGACTGCCACACCTTTCCTGCGGAGTGGTTGGTAGGTTCGAATCGCTGACCTTTTGGTTAGCAGCTGAGCACTTAACCACTGCGCCACCAGTGAATATCACTGAATATTTAAAATGTTTTATGTAATGTGTTGGTTTGCTTTTTTCATTTTTGACTTAGTCACTAGAAGGAACCTTAAGAGTCCAGGTTTGGGGCGTATTTTCTTACATCTGTAGACTATTAATTTTGCCCTGAAAATGTGTTGGCCTGACTTTTTGAGGCCCTAAGTTATCCCCAAGGCTGTCATTAGAACGTCTGATGTGAAGGTCATTTGGGATATTCTGAGGAGAGCTGGGGCCCAGGATTAGGGTAGCGGGGCAGTTGTATCACCTGCTCTGTCCTGGGCGGCTCCTTTCACCCGAGCCAGAACAGACTTGCTCTGAAGTCAGCAGTGGTGAGTTCTCAGAACTTCAGTTTGTGCAGCTGTAGCTCTTATAAATAAACTTGCATATTCATAACTTGGAATCTCACAGTTGGCTCAGTAGACAGCTTGTTACATGTCACCTGGAGCCGCAGAGCTGAGGAATGTTTATGTCACAAGCCTCTTGTCTGGAGAGCCCTTGCCAGTGCCAGCGGTGGCCGAGCTTGGGCGTGGCACTGCAGAAGGCCAAGGGAGGGGCCACACGGCCCAGGATGCCCACTGTGCGTCTCACATGTGGCCGCACCTGTGCCTTCTCAGAGAGTAGGGGTGCCTTTCCGGTCCCAATCACAGTAAGGACAGGTTTAGCTTCGTGTGAGTTTAGGCCGGGACAGTCAGCACCTGTGCCCTACAGCCAGTGTCGGACCAGAGCCCCGTCCTGGCGTGGGGAAGGAAGGAAGGGCTGTGATGCAAACTGCGCCTCGGTATTTTAGCTTGTACAAGAGTGTAGCAAATACAAACGTTAGATTTCCTGCTGCACACAGTGACATTTCAGATAGCTTTGCAATTGCCTGGAGCCCTGGCAGCATTTGGAGATTCCCGATCAGGACAGCTTTGTGGGTCTGTGGCTGGGTTTTCAGGAGACTCTTCAACTACACCTTGTTTTTATCTGGGAGCTTGAAATCGGGAGTTGGCTTTTTCCTCCTGTGGGTGAGCTGTAGTACGACTGGCCTGATGACTTTTCAGTGAGCTTAGAGCTTTAGTGTTGCTTCCTTCACAGTGGACCCCGCCCCCACCCTGCAGACAGATCACCAGAGGCCGGGAGGGCTGGAGGTTTTCCCAAGGCCTCCACCGCCCAGCCCACCTGACTACCTCCTGTTCCCAGATGCCTCACTGCCCTTTGTTTACTCTGTGTGTGTGTGTGTGTGTGTGTGTGTGTGTGTGTGTGTGTGTGTGTGTGTGTAGGCGTGCACAGGCATACACGTGCTCACTCGTAGTTAAGCTGGTGCTGTCCCTTGTCGTGTGTGTGTGTGTGTGTGTGTAGGTGTGCACAGGCATGAACGTGCTCACTCGTAGTTAAGCTGGTGCTGTCCCTTGTCATGGGGTGTGCTGGTTTTTCCAGGGTAGGGGTAGGTAGGATCTTCAAGTTCGGATCATGAAAGAACATTTGGTTTCAGTTGGGACGTTTTTCTTGAGCCCATGTTACTGGAGGTGAGGGGTCTAGAGAGGGCCCCCTTGCACTCAGAGGTGGGGCAGTTTTAAGAGGCGTGGGAACGGGTGCTCCTGGGAGCACACTCTGCACCCAGACCGAGAGGTGGGCAGCCCGGGCTGCATGCAGCCGTCAGAGAGTTTGCAGCCCGCCTTTCCGGGCCCCCTGCTCGTAGCCCTGCCCACTGAGTGCCGTCAGGACACCTTCAGAGTGACTTCACTCCACGGCACCACGCGTGCCGCCCGTCGTCAGCAGTGTTGCTGCGGGACAGGGCTTTGAGCCTTTCCAGGGGTCACTGCTTGTGTTATGCCACCCGGTTTCTGGGCGCTTAGGAGTAGAAGCGGAAGGGCTGTGAGTAGCCTGGTACGTGGCCAGTCCTCACGGAGCTTGCTTGGTTTAGTCGCTTCATTTGGACTCGATCATTGCAAGGGGCCTTTGCATTTTCGGATGACAGCCTGGAATTGTTCTTTGTTAATGTCGCTCGTCCTCACTGTGTTCTCTCACTGGCCATCTTCTTGCTCGTTTCCAGGGGAGGGCCCAGCGCTGCGCGACCTCGTTCCCGCTGGGTCTGTGTGTGGACAGGACTTAGCCGGAGGTGGAAGGTGTCTGACTCTTCACACTTTTGCTTTTGCAGAGTGACAGCTACCCCTCAATGACCGACCCCTACCTGTCCAGTTACTACCCGCCGTCCATCGGGTTTCCTTACTCCCTCAATGAAGCCCCGTGGTCGACCGGAGGGGACCCTCCCATTCCGTACCTCACTACCTACGGACAGCTCAGCAACGGAGACCACCACTTCATGCACGATGCTGTTTTTGGGCAGCCCGGGGGCCTGGGGAACAACATCTATCAGCACAGATTCAATTTTTTCCCTGAAAACCCTGCCTTCTCAGCATGGGGGACAAGTGGGTCTCAAGGGCAACAGACTCAGAGCTCAGCGTATGGAAGCAGCTACACCTACCCACCTAGCTCCCTGGGCGGCACGATTGTGGACGGACAGACAGGTTTCCACAGCGACACACTCAACAAGGCCCCTGGGATGAACAGCCTGGAGCAGGGCATGGTGGGCCTGAAGATCGGGGACGTGACCACGTCTGCAGTCAAGACTGTGGGGTCTGTTGTGAGCAGTGCTGCGATGACTGGCGTTCTGTCTGGCAACGGGGGAGCAAACGTCAACATGCCAGTTTCAAAACCCACCTCCTGGGCTGCCATCGCCAGCAAGCCGGCAAAGCTACAGCCTAAGATGAAGGCCAAGAGCGGGCCTGTGATGGGTGGTGCGATGCCACCCCCGCCCATCAAGCATAACATGGACATCGGCACCTGGGACAACAAGGGGCCTGTGACGAAGGCCCCAGCTCCCCAGCAGACCCCGTCCCCCCAGTCAGTTCCACAGCCACAGCAGATCGTTCAGCCTGTTCCGGCGCAGCCGCCACCTCTGGCCCAGCCGCAGTACCAGAACGCTCAGCAGCCGCCCCAGACCCGCTGGGTTGCCCCGCGCAACAGGAATGCAGCGTTTGGGCAGGGCACAGGGGCCGGCAGTGATAGTAACTCTCCTGGAAATGCCCAGCCCAGTGTGGCCCCAAGTGTAGAATCACACCCCATTCTTGAGAAACTGAAAGCTGCCCACAGCTACAACCCTAAAGAGTTTGACTGGAACCTCAAGAGCGGACGCGTGTTCATCATCAAGAGCTACTCGGAGGACGACATCCACCGCTCCATCAAGTACTCCATCTGGTGCAGCACGGAGCACGGCAACAAGCGCCTGGATGGTGCCTTCCGCTCCCTGGGCAGCAAGGGGCCCGTCTACCTGCTCTTCAGTGTCAACGGGAGCGGGCACTTCTGTGGCGTGGCTGAGATGAAGTCGCCGGTGGACTACGGCACCAGCGCAGGGGTCTGGTCGCAGGACAAGTGGAAGGGGAAGTTTGACGTCAAGTGGATTTTTGTCAAGGACGTGCCGAACAACCAGCTCCGGCACATCCGGCTGGAGAACAACGACAACAAGCCCGTCACAAACTCCCGCGACACCCAGGAGGTGCCCTTGGAGAAAGCAAAGCAAGTGCTGAAGATCATCGCTTCCTACAAGCACACCACCTCCATCTTTGACGACTTTTCCCACTACGAGAAGCGCCAGGAGGAGGAGGAGGTGGTGCGCAAGGTGAGTGGGCCTCTCACACAGATGCGCATGATGGGGTGCCGGTCGCACAGGGCTACCTTGGTCTCTGCACCTAAGCCAGACGGCCCCACAGGCAGCAGAGGCTGAGGCAGGAGGAGACACTGGCCACCAGCAGGTGGGGGCAGGTGTCAGCAGTTCCTGTTCATGGTGGTTCCTTCTGGTCAGGGTGTGGTCACGGGGCCAACGCCGCCAGCACCACATGGCTTTTCCAGAGTATGTTCACCCGAAGTGACTCAGGTGACGTTCGAGTGGATGTCAGTGCACAACTTTTGATCATGTTTTAAATCTTTGAGAAACTTAATTGGCACCACATTGTACAGATTTGGTTACAAAGAACTCGAGGGTAGTTCTTTCTGTTTTTGTTTTGTCTTTTTTCTTTCCAAGTAAGGATCTTTTCTAGAACGGTGTTTGCCGACCTTTGTCAAGTTAGGAACACATGGAAAAACACTGTTCACACAGCACCGGGGTGGACGGTGAGGCTGCCCAGGGCTGGAGCCGCACACCACATCAGCCCCCTAGAGGGCTCCTGGGCTCAGCTGCTCAGCAGTTGGGAAGTGTCGGCCCACAGGTCGTTTCTTATCTCTTTTGAGAACCCAGCATCCTGTGGGCTTGGGAACTTAACCTTGTTCCACCGAGGTGGTAAAGAAAATGGCAGGGGGCAGGGCAAGGGGTTGGGGTCTGTCTCGGTCATCTAGTGCGGCTCTAAACAGAAATACCCCAAGTGGATGGCTTTAAGAAAGAGACGTTTATTCGCTCACAGTCCAGTAGGCTACAAGTCCCAATTCAGGGCGCCGGCTCCACGGGAACGATTTCTCTGTCAGCTCTGGAGGAAGGTCTGTGTTATCAATCGTCCTTTGGTCTGGGAGCTTGTCTGCGCACGAACCTCAGGTCCAAAGGTTGCGCTCTGCTCCCGGCACTGCTTTCTTGGTGGTAATACTGGGAATCGTGACCCAGTCAAGCTGACAGATATTTTTGGGGGACACAGTTCAGTCTATGACAGGGTCCAAGATGCTTTGTAATAATACATTCAGGTGTCTAGAGCAGTTGTGAAACACCTGTATGTTGGGTCTTTGTGAGATCGTCCTAATTCTGTTACAGTTAATAACGAGACTGCCCCGCCCGGCCTGTTGGAGCTCATCCGAGAGGCAGTCGCTCAGCTCTCATCTATTTCCTCCTCAGAGGCACGTGCTCACGGCCGTAAAGTGGCCCAGAGATGGGAGATGAGGGCACTGGGGTGCACGTCTGCGGGAGAGGTCGTCCAGAGACTCTCCTGCTTTTCTGGTGTTAGAATGTCCTTTCTTAACTGAAATGTCAGTTGGTAATAGATGGGCTTCCAGTCCTTTGCCAGTCCTCCAGCTTCCGAATCGCTCACCTGAAGGCATGTAAATTGGGGCGTAAAGGAATACGATTAGCAGTTTTCAACATTGAGCGTATTGCGAAGAACTCAGGCTTTGCGACACTGAAGAAGGATTGGTCCCTATTCTGCTCTTGTGAGAAGAGGTGGTGTTTAGTGACCGAGATTCTGTATGTCAGCTTTTTAGGTATAAAATTCTGACTTGCTTAGTTTATAGGGATAATTGCTAATGAAACTTTAGGTCTTAGTGGACTTTAAATTGGCAACTGGCTTTTTGTGTGTGTGGTTTGTTTGCTTAAATATTGTAGTACTTGGGTTTTTGCTATCGTTTACTTGGTTCCAAAGGTTTGTGATGAACTTTGGAATAGATTTTTACCTGTCACAGCTGCTCAGGAGAACTACATTACCGTGTGCAGGCTGTTCTGAAGTGAGGCTCCTGTTGCGGTGATGAGCCACCTGCATGCAGCCACGCCATCCTGGCCCCCATTCAGGAGCCAGGCGCTCGCCCCGTCTTTCTCCATCCCTCCTGCCACCAAGTAGTGAGCCCTACCTGGGAGTGACCCCGTGAACCATTTGTTAGCCAAGCTGAAAAGTTTCTAGTCTGTGAGTTAAATTAGTTACGATTGAAACTGACAAATACTCTGGTAGAATTTCCGGTGTCTTCCAGACTCATTGGAATTTGTGTAGGAATATAAGTAGTTCTCAGAAAGTGGTCCCCAAACCAGCGGCAGCATCGGTGTCGCGTGGCGACTTGTCAGAAGTGCACGTTCTCGGCGGGCGGCCGACCTGTGGGCCTGAGCAGGTGCCGTGCTAGGGCACAGAGGCTGGGTGCACCAGTGTCCATACCTGGTGGGTTATCCGTTCACACAGAGGTCAGAACCCTCGATGTTTTCAAGTTGGACTTCCAGTGCTTCACCCTTTCAGCGTGTTTGCTAGAGTTAGTGGGCTGCAGTGACTCGGGGGAGGGCCACCTGTGTGCCAGGCTGCTGGGGTGACCGTGAGGCTGATTCTTTCCCCGGACATTTGCCTGTCGTTTCAGAGTTAGGATCCAGTGCTTTTAAGCGATCATAATTACGAACGTGGATCGCGTCCGGAGAGTGCGGTGTCCTCGGCGTTTTGTAGGATCGCTGTGCCGCCTGACGCCTCAGCCTTGCGTCTGGAAACAGGGATTTCTTGGAAAAACACTAGCTTTTGTGGGAGCTGTGTCAGACCAAGTCCTAGATTTGACAAGTTTGTTTTTTGTTAATCTGCAGTCAGTCCCAAGAGTGCTTAAGATCGTGAAGACTTCGAGCGATCCACCCGTTTAAAGTTCAGACGGAGACGTCCTCACACGCGCTCCCCTGGCACTGGCCACAGGTGTCCCGGCCTCAGCGGCAGGGGGCCGGGAACCACCCTTGAGTGGGGGGCTGGGTGAAGACTAGTGCGTGTTCACTGAGGCGAGAGCGGTTACCCGGTTACCCGTTGTGGGGTGTCCCTTGGAGAATGAGCTCGACAGCCTCTCTGCCGCCTTTTCTCCTCGGAGAAGAGGCTGTTCAGCAGTTTTGTGAGTAATGGTATTTTTTAAGAGCACACGGTGAACCTTGTGGTTATTTATGATGGTCGAAGGGGACAAGGCAGCTCGAGATTTGACTCATCGCTTTACAAGGAGCCATTTTGATCTCAAAAGAGATATTGCTAGCGGCTTTCCAGGAAGATCAGTACCTGGGATTTTTTAAGAGAATGCAGAATACAGTGTTTAATTTTTGCAGCTGTGGAGCTCAGATTGGTGGCTGTCTGCTCAGTGTGCTGATCTACCTACAGTGGAGTTTTTTAAAGACTGTGTCCGGTTGAAAGCACCCCTCAGGCATCTGGGAAGCCACGTGGTGCTGCCCAATGGGGCAGGGGTGGGGGGTGGGGAGGCTCCCTGGGGCACCCAGTGCTCCTGCGGTACTTGGGGCTCCTCCTGCGGTAGGTGGGGTGCGCTGTGACGTTTATTAACCTGGGGACGGGTCAGCAGGGGAGGAGTCTGTTCCTTAGGTTGTACTTGAGATGGAACCCGCCTGTGCCAGCTGTATGTCGTGGGGCGGGTTCCCTACACAGCCCTTGTGGCCAGTCTGCATCTTAGTTCCCTAGAGACGGCAGCACCGGGCGCCTGTAACCGAGGGCTGTTCGGACGTGCCCGTGTCCGGGCCTGACTGGTGCTGGTGCCGTAGGGAGAGGGGTGGCACCGTGGGGGGGGCGCCGTGGGGAAGGGGGGGTGCGGCGCCATAAGGTAGCTTCTGGACCCTGCAGAGTACAAACCAGGGGTGGAGAAAGGTGCGGGTTTAAACCACGTACTTCTGTGCCTCACGCGCCGTGGAAAAGAGTCTTCTCTCTGCAGAACAGGAAAGAAACCGGCCAGAGGAGCAGACAGAGTAGGTGCTGGTGGAGGCCATGGTTTCGTCCGGTGTCGGAAGGGACGTGGGATGGGGAGCCGTTCGTTCAGCCCCCGCTCTGCCCTCACTCGCGTGGGTGCCTTGGTGCCTGGTGCCCAGCCATGCAGGGCGTGTGTGCTGGCTCCTTCCTTGGGGCGTCGATTTTGTTTCTCGAGTCTTTACCGCGTAGGGTGACAGTGACGTTTAGCGGAAAGCCGGTGACGGAGGTGAGAGCCCCAGCAAGCAGGCGGCCTGTGGTTGAAGCGGTGGCATTTTTGTGCTTATACAAAAGACACTTCCGGGCGGGGGGCAGGGGGCGGGCACAGCGCAGTGTGGGTGGTGGTCTTTGCTGGGGCACCCAGGGTGCCGGGCCTGCCTGTTGGGTCTGACTGCAGAGTGGGGGTGCACTGTGAGTTGGGGGCTCTGAGGGAACGCCCCAGGGCACTCTGAGGGAATTCACGCACACGATGTGTTAATCTTCTTCTTCCTTCTTTTTACAGGAACGGCAGAATCGAAACAAACAATAAGCCGGTTTCGTGTATGTTCTAACATTTGACTTTGAAAAACAAAGTTTAAAAAATGTATGCCTGGTGCTGTCTCCTGGCGCCAGCTCCGCTGTGTCCTCTTGCGCAGGGATCGAGTTGTTGCATTTCTCAGTTCTTTGTAGTTGATTTTGCCCAGATGGATCTGCACTCGTTTGTATTTTTTCTATGTATTATATAATATTGTAGAGCTCACTAATAAAGGTGTATTTTTTTGTCAGCTTATCAATCAGACTGACCTAGTGCAAAATACAGGCATCCTTAAAACGAAAGAAGAACCTAATACATCCCAAAGATTTTTTTTTTTTATTTTGGCAGAAATTATGTTCTTATTATATTTACGTTCATTTAATATCTCTGTGTGAGGCTTATTTCTCACCCCCTTATTGCTTTATGGGAAACATAAGAAACCATGAATTGTTTTGTCTTTTGAGTGTTCTGTTAAAATTCTTCTCTTAGATACTGAAGTCAGAGGTCAACGAGAACCTTGGTTGGCTGGTTGCTGTTTTTATTATCTGTTGGTATTTGTCTTAAAGGCTAATCTGCCCATTTGATTTTTAACTAGACAGAAAAGCAAATTGAATTTGAATTTCTCAAACTTGGAGAAAACTGTTTTCTTGACGCCTGCACTTCCTTGGTCTGCTCTGCCCCCGGGGTTCTGTTGTCATAGCTGCCAGTGATGTGACTCGACATGCTGAGGTTCTGGAAACCGCTCTGGTTCTGGCTCAGCACTGAGGTGTAGTTTTTGCAGACCGTTTGAATTGCCGTTTTTCTTCACTTGAGCCTCATGCCTTTAAGTTTCACACCAGTGGCGCTGGGCTTTATGGAGGAGCTGGGCGCACAGCGGGTCGACGATACTCCTGTGTCACTTTTACTCTGTGGGTCTGATTTTTTTTTTTTTCCTGTTGAATGGGTTAAAAAAAAAAAAGCAAAAAACATACAACAGAACCTTTCAGAACTGATTTGGTGTCATGTTTTTGTGGCGTGAGGGAGCCGCTGAAGAACCCGCCGCCACCGAGCCGGAGTTTGCGCCTGGAAGCGGTGCTCCTGCCTGTCACTCCAGCACCCGTGTCTGCACGCACCCACCGCACCAGAGATAGGGCTCTGGAGCCACACTCCACGGCCTCCGACGTAGCGTGCGCTGTATCACTTAGACTTGTATTAGAACGTCCACCTTCTCCGAGCTTTTACTGCTGTGTGGAGTAACGGGCAGCATCGGATAACTGTCCTCTAGGAGAATACAAGCCTTAATAAACAAGTCCTGTTTAGCACGTTGAGTGTCATGGTGTTCCTTTCCCCTTTCACGGGCTGCTGTTTTTAACTGCGGTCCTCCTCTGTCTGCTGGAGGGCCGTTCCGGGGAGCCGGGGGTTGATCGCCCCTGAGACTGTGGGAGCTGTGCTGTGCCTTCACGCCCTCATCACATGACAGAGGAGCTTTGACGGAGCTGGGACTCGGAAAGTGTAGCCCCCAGCATTTGCGTACAGTCTCTTCCAAACATGCAGCCAAGTTGAAGCATCCCACAGTGACGTCATATGCCACCTCCTAGATGCCCCACTGTTAGGTGCCTCCGCCTGCTCTCCCTCCCACACCTCCACCCAGTCTTCGGTCATCTTATTTTTTATGCGTTTCAGACCGCAGACATCAGTATCTGAGCTCTGAATAATTCAACGGGAGCTTAGCATTGGTTCTTAGCAGCGTGTTTTCCTTTTGAGGGGAACCACGAGGATGACATGCGCAAGCCTTAGGTGTCCATCCACAGGCTTTGACAGTATGAGATCTGGACAAAGGACCGACGTGGTACTGGCCTCGTCCCAGACGGGCCCGCCTCACCGGAATGTACGGTCACTGGTGCGAGGAAATGGTACAAAAGACACTACACAGGGAGGCCTCTGCTCTGACAGGTCCCAGGAGGGGGATCCTCCCACCCGGAGAAGATCGCATTAGAAGCGCAGCTCCAAATTGGTGCGTTTTGGACCTCACGGGGTTAATGCCCTTGTGTCTGGCTGCCATTTCTTTCCTGGGCTCCCTGTCGCTGGGCCCCTTCCCTGTTAACGGCCGGTCAAGGGATGTGCTGACAGTGGGTACCCCAATAGGATGCCCCCCTTTTTGGGCTGTGTCTAAGTAGTGGGGGGTGGGGTTCATGGACTGGAGGAGGTGGCAGAGCTGTGGAGTGAGCTGGTGTGGGGACTCCGGGCTGATGGTGACTGAGCGAGAACGGACAGAGCCGCTGGTGATGTCACCCACTCTGAAGCCTTCTTCCAAACCCAGGGAGGACTTACCACTCCTGCTGAGGAGTCCCTGGTGGTGCAAACGGTTAAGTACTAGGCTACTAACCCAAAGGTTGGAGGTTCGAGTCCACCCAGAGGTGCCTTGGAAGAAAGGCCTAGCAGTCTGCTTCCAAAAAAGCCATTCCAAGAAAACCCTACAGAGCACAGCTCTACTGTGACACACGTGGGGTTGCGGTGAATGGGAGTCATCTTGCCGGAACGGGTCTGGTCCGATCCCTCTGGTAACGCACACAAATCCTTTCACAGGTGTCAGATGCCAAGTGTGAGTGCGGGGCGGGCGTCCACTCATCTTGACCTTCCAGCACTTGGCAAGACCTGGTCTGAGCAATCAGAGAATTAGGGAAACAACTTACTTTAATCGCGATCAGGTTGTGCTTCATAAAGGTAGGTGAGCGTTAGTATTTCCCATGCCTGCTCCCCAAAGGCATAGTGTTTCTAAGCTCCTGGGGGCACCCCACTTCAGCCAGAGTGCCCTTCGCGGTCCCTCTGGCTCTGGATGTTTGTCCCAACGGTTGGAATGTAGTTGAGTTGCAGTCAGGGGACTCAAGTGTGGCTCTCCGGAGTCATGCAGGCTGGAGGGGAGCAGAGCTGTGCACGAGCCAGAGGAAGAAGCGCTTGGAGCCCCTCGGCTCCCCACACGGCATCCCTGGGCTTCGAGGTGACTGAGCGGGGGCACCAGGCCTTGTGCCCTTGCCGTCGGGAAATGGACCACCTCCACAAGCCTGTCCCAAAATGAGTGGTGGGGACGCACCAGGAGGCCCCCATACTCACAGCCACCTGTGCCCTTTGTGTCTATCAGCTCAGTAAATCCCGCCCCTCCCTTCTTCCTGGGCTGTTGTGGGGAGTCCCCCCGCCCCCCGCGTGCTCTCTGTATTCTGCAGCCTGGAGGTGCCCAGAGGTGCCTTTGAGATTGGCACTTTCAATTTAATTCTTCAAAAGCAATGTGTTAGAAAAGGTATTTGGACAGTTATCCTCACATTTTTAATGTAATTATTTTTCCCTTAGATAACAGTCACATGGTGTAAATCATTTTAAGGTGAAAGAATATCGGTGAGAAGTGGAAGCCCCAGGTCCCCTCCCTAGAGGGGTCTCTTGTCAGGTTACTTTGTCTGCTGAAAGTGATGACCCAGAATAGGGTCCAGGTGACAGTATCAGAATTGCCCACAGGCTGTGTTATGGATTGGATTGTGTCCCCCAAAATAGGTGTGGTGGAAACCCTGGTAGCGTAGTGGTTAAAAGCTACGGCTGCTAACCAAAAGGTCGGCAGTTTGAATCCACCAGGCACTCCTTGGAAACCCTATGGGGCAGTTCCACTCTGTCCTACAGGGTCACTATGAGTTGGAATCGACTCGATGGCAATGGATTTTTTTTTTTTTTAATACCTGTGCTTACAGACCCCTGGTAGCGTAGTGGTTAAGAGCTATGGCCACTAACCAAAAGGTCAGCAGTTCGAATCCACCAGGCACTCCTTGGAAACCCTATAGGGCAGTTCCACTCTGTCCTATAGGGTTGCTATGAGTTAAGTTGGAATCGACTCCTTCGGCAACAGGTTTATACCTGTGGTTATAATCTCTTTCAGGAATGGGTTTTGTTATGTTAATGTGGCAATATTAGTGCAGGGAATGTTTCAAGTAAATCTTTTTTGAGATATAAAAGCAGATTAAGTAACCCCACCCAGAAGTGGGATCCACCTAGAGTGGGGTCCATCAGGTGTGGGATCCACCAAGAGTGGGGTCCGTTGGGTGTGGGGTCCACCAGGTGTGGGATCCACTGGGTGTGGGGTCCACCGAGGAGTGGGGTCCACTCAAGTGTGGGGTCCACCCAGGAGTGGAGTTCACTAGGTGTGGGGTCCACCAGGAGTGGGGTCCGCCCAGATGTGGGGTCCACCTGGAGTGGGGTCCACCAGGTGTGAGGTGAGTCCTTGTCAGGTTTGGAACTCTGCTCTTGTGGTTTGTGGGAGACCCTGAGGGTGAGGGCTGCACCATCTCAGTGTGGGGAGAGTGCCCCGGAGGGCAGGCGTGATGAGGCTAGGCCACCTGATCCGCTGGCCGCCAGGCCCAGCTTGAAGAGGAAGTGAAGCGGGAGCCCCCTCTGTTCCTTCCCTCTTCACTATTTTGGGAGGCCCTGTGTGCCCTAGGTTCTGGGCTTACACACCGGGAGATGCAGGGATGGGTTGGGGGGACGGCCTGGGGGAGCCTGGCAGCTCCGGTGAGTGCCTGTAGAAAGGCACTTGGCTCTGAGAGGGGGCAGACCCTCAGCCCTGGACTCTGGACAGCTCCACAAAGTGAGGGGGGGGGACTAGCGGGGGTGGGGGGTGGAGGGGGGCAGTCTTTATTTTATTTTTTATTTGGAAATAATGTCAAACTTATGGGAAAGTTGCAAGAAGAAGAAAAGTACAAAATTTATTTTTAAAGAATTGGCTAGAAAATGCCCTTCCCCCAGTGTCACTGGTCAATGTTGGCCCTGTTGGTGTGCTGTTTGGCCTGCTCTGTGGACGTGTGAAAGAGTGTGTGAGTGTGTGTGTGTGGGTGAATGTGTGTGTGTGGGTGAGTGTGAGTGTGTGGGTGAGTGTGAGTGTGTGGGTGAGTGTGAGTGTGTGGGTGACTGAATGTGTGTGTGTGTGTGTGGGTGAATGTGTGTGTGGGGGACTGAATGTGTGTGTGTGTGTGGGTGAATGTGTGTGTGGGGGACTGAATGTGTGTGAGTGTGAGTGTGAGTGTGTGGGTGAGTGAGTGTTTTCTGTACCATTTGAGAGTGAACTGCTCCATCTTGCAGCTATGCCCTCCGGTAAGCGGAACACAAGGTTCTTCCTTGTCTGGGAGGAGCTTGTCCTCCCTGGCATTCCAGGGGTGCAGGAGGAGCCCTCCAGGGGTGCAGGAGGAGCCCTCCAGAGGTGGTTGGGGGAAGCCTTTTAAGATCCACGCTCGGTGACCAGGATGGGGCGGGGAAGCTGCTGAGGAGGCCGGATCCAGGCTTTAAGGAGAAGGGGCAAGGCGGGATTGTTTGCGAGCAACAGACAGGATAACCCGAGAGGCATGTGGAGTTCTTCCTCTGCCCCCCGCCCCCTCTGCTCTGGAGGCTGACTCCCTGGAGTCTCCACTGATTCACAGAACCTCCCCGGGACCCTGGGAGTCTCCACTGGCCTCCAGGGACCTCCCCCGACCCCTAGGGGCCTCTCCCAACCCCCAGGGGCCTCTGAAGGCTGCCGGGAAGGAGGGTTGGCTAGTGGGAGGCATGACCAGGGGGTCTGCCCCGCTTGCTCAGTCTCCTTTTCTGCAGCCGCAGCTCTTCCCTTGGCAGCCTTCTCTGTGTTCCCCCTCCTCGCCCCCCTGTCCCATCCTCTGGGGTTCCCCGGCCCCCTTGCCCTCCTGTCCTATCCCCTGGGGCTCCCCGGCCCCCTCGCCCTCCTGTCCCATCCCCCAGGGTTCCCCGGCCCCCTCGCCCTCCTGTCCTATCCCCCGGGGTTCCCCGGCCCCCTCCTTGCCCTCCTGTCCCATCCTCTGGGGTTCCCCAGCCCCCTCGCCCTCCTGCCTCATCCCTCGTGTTCCCGGCTCCTCCTCTCCTCTGCCAACAGGCCATCCTAAACCCACCTTGCTTGTCCTGAGCTGGGTGTGGCTGGGACCTGCCCTAAGGAACTGCGACATTCCGAGTTTC